TCTGGAGCAGTTAAGTTATTTTTTTGATTGGTGGTAACTAATAAAATCACCAGTGCACCTCATTTCTTATAAACACCGTGTTGTAATTTGTGCAATTTGCAGCAGGAGAGCAAGATTGGCTAAGCGCATAAATGCAAAACTGTCTTGATATATTGAATTTGTGTTACGCCTTAGGTTTCGGTGTGCTAAATTAATTTCCACGGTATGGTAACTATATCAAATAAGATTTTTGTAGGACTTTTATTAAGGAAAAAAAGTTCGCTTTAGCGATAGATATACAGAAGAAAAATCTGATTGCAGAATGAGCGACTTTACAGCATAAGTGACCTTGCAGTCTACTTTTATATTTTTCATAATATGTCTTAGATGGCCTTAGGCGTACGAGCGTAGACTTTTCCTCAAACTCTATCAATCAAATCTTCATTTCTATGATTTGTCCTAATAAGTTTTTATTTGCCGTGATAAATTGAGATTCATCATGATCATCAACTGCTCTCTGTAATTGAAATAGACATGGGAAGGATGAGAAAAAAATTTTTTTTTGATAAAGAAAATCTAGAATGTGAGATATTTGACTTGAATAAAACACTGCACATGTGTGAATTAAGTAAAAAGTACTTATAATATAATTTTTTTACAATTGATTAATTTTTTTTAAATTTTATGATGATTAGGAGAATAATAGTCAGACTGTACAACTCAGAAGGCATAAGCATCGATAAAAATAACATCTAACATTGCCAAAGAAGCGAAAATTTCTTTGATTAAAAAGGCATATATATTAATTAATTAACATATATTTATCCTTCTATAACTGCTTAATATCCTGACCCGATGGTCGCCATGACATTGCTCTTTGAGAGGATTATCCACTGCACGACGAACTACTCTTTTAGAGCTTCGCTATCCTACTCTGCCCACTCACCTCTTGATGGATTTAACCGTTAGTACTTTGTTATCATTGTCACGACATTATAGAACACTATTTTCAATAAATTATGAGAAAGTGCTACTTATGGAACTAGTGAACTTACCATCATTGATAGGATTCACATAGTCTGAAAGTAACGCATAAATGATATAAATGCACTGACAATTCTGCTTAGATATAAGAATATATTGTTAACCAATCTTGAAAAGGTCAAGCAAATCTTTTTGTGTCACAGAATTACAAAAATTGCCCCATTGCTGCTCTATTCCATCAGTAGGGGATGGGTAACGCGTGGAACGAAATCTCTACAAAGTAGGATAATGATAGATATGATGACTATGCGGACAAGACCATCTGATTGGTCATTACGCATAGAGAATGACGAGCATTCTTTGGCAATTTTTATCACTGTTAAACCTGCTCAGGGGTTTGAAACCCACAAATCTCTGGTAGTGATTGAGATATGTACTGTACAGCCTTTTTAAAAAATGGAAAAGACTTACTGAGGCTAAATATTTAGTGAAGTCATACTAAACCTTTTGGTAAAGACAGATTTTTTCCCAAGTTTCTTTCAGCGAGCAGTTTG